CGCACAGTTGTGGACCGCCAAACATCCAACCACCATCCCGGTATGGATGGTATCGCGAGTTTTGTCGCGATGTGCGATGGTGAAATTGAGCGGCTGGAATTAGTCCGATATCACTGTGATTCGTATGGTGATTGTAAAGATCCGGAGATCCTTTTTACTGGAAACGAAGCATTCCATCTTAGTCCTCAGGGGCGAAAACGCATCTGCATGTTGATACTTAATCGAGAATAAAATTTAGATGTCTGTGGTTCTCTACATTCACAATACGATACACAGCAACAGTAAGCTGCCATTTGACAGTACTTTGATGTATGTAGATGTCTATGGGCCACAGCAATCACTTACCATCAGGTGGACTGTGTGTTCGTTTGTCACCTTATAAAAAATCACACAGTAACCACAGTTCATAGACATCTATATATATACTCGATTAAGAATCCAATTTCAGATGCATTTCACCCCTGAAGACTAAGATTGAACGCCTCACAGATTATAATTGTACTGGATCTCCATATTCTTCAGACCAGCAAGCCAGCAGTGTGAATACTGACATTTGGCGACGGATATGGGTAAGATTCTACACTCTAGTCTTCACTCTGGTAGTACTTACCCAGACAGTACTGGCCTGTAAGTCTTACCACCTAGTGACAAAAATCTGGAAAATATAATATTTTAAAATTATACTAAAGATAAACAGTATACATATAAGTATATAAGTACAAAAATCAGTCTTTATAAGTATCAGGACTACTCGTACGACCACCAGTAGACTCTCACAGGCTGGCGGATAGCTGGATGATCTATTTGTAAGTACGGCTGTGACGCAAGAAAGTATACTTTGCGATGGAAAAGGTTGAATAATGTTTTAATGGATATAGCAAGTTTGATATTTTTTTTTTACTTTCGATGTTCCTCGCTGCACCTATGATCGCAGTTGCTTTCAATCATTTAGAAGTGTACCAGACCTTTTTTATGCCAAATAGCGCAATTTGAAGGTAACATGATATATTTTTGTGATATATGTGTAATTCAGTCAGAGCAGTCGATACTGTACAGTACACGACGACCTCGGAGTAGCAGAGCCCATATAAAAAATTAATGTAAAATGTTGAGAGTCTATTGTGAGCGTTATCAATGCTATCAATACTATGAAACAAAAAAACCGTTTTCTGAAAAGGCGTCACGAAGTCAAAGATATAATATAATATTTATTACAATAATTCTTCTGTAGGATAGATTTTTGAACAAGTAAGTTTGCTGAATACTATTGCTGGGTAGTGGCGGTGTAAGAATATTCTCTGCCCCTTATTATCTTGTGGGTGTCGTAAGAAGTGACAGAGGTAAACTGAAACAGGAGATGGGCAGCAGCATCTTCTTGATGACAACGGAAAATAATAAAGAAATGCGGTTGCTATCCCGCTTGCTAAGCGTTGCATCTATAAAAAATCCTTTCTATGTGGTATTTTATGAGGGACGCCTATGTTGAGAAGTCTTATGTTGATATGCTGTAATAAATGAACGAATGTATAAACGTGAGGCTCACCCTTACTCGGAGGCAATGTGCTTTCACAAATTATTATAGAACTTCTATATCTTAAGTTATTACTATTAATTTCATCGAATGTTGATTAATCTTTAAGGTCTTCCGCAACAGGGAAGCGATGCGATCTAGTTGAAGCGATAGATCGCACACCTTTCTTGCCTTACAAAAAGTCTTTTGTAACGGACAATTATTATCATTAAATATTTTGATTTTAACTTAGATCATGTGCTTGGCAGTAAAGGAAAACATCGTGAGGGAAGCTAAGTGTCTGAGAAATTAAAAAAAAATTACCCTGTCTTCCCTTCCTTCTCACAAATGTCACCTCCTCACACCTCACTTGTGAATAGCAGTGCTCAGCTATAAAAGAAAGCATGGGAAGGAAACAAGATATCTAAAAATTAAATTTATTATAGACATATTAGTATTGGATAGTACGGCGGAATCTTCTCTGTTTAAAACTTCTTCACTAATGAGGTAAGGTCTGCTCTTAGTGCTTAGCTTAGGTCTGTGTTGAAATATATACAATAAAACATTTGAATCAGTTATTATTAATAATATTAAAATTACAATTGAGATGTAGTTGCTAAAATATTATCCCGAAAAATTTATCCATTCTAGAAGGAATTGTGTTGTCACAACTTGCAACAGAACGGACAAAGAAAATATTACCTTTATTGAAAAAATAAGGTTGACAAACGAGTCCACAGTCCCCCTGAGGACAAGTGAATGCTGTGGGTCACATACACCTACATCTATCCTCGATAATGAATCAAAATGCAGATGCGTTGTGTCCCCTGAGGACCAAGGTACAATACTTTATTTCCTGTAAAAGGAGTGCTGTTAAAGTTAACTTTAATAAAATGTAAAACCGACTGCAAATAAATGATAAAAATAAAGCAATTTCTCACTCTGCATTCGGTAGGAAGAGAAAAGAAATATTTCGTTTTCTTTTTAGTTATCTAAAGTCGGTTTTTACCTTTTTTTATTAATTTTTAACTGTTTTGAGTAGACTAAGAAATATGTATCAAAAATAATGTCGTCTAAATATTAACATTCAAAACTTCGTCCTCTATTTTTCCAATAAATTTGGACCACCCCAAAAGCAAAACATATTTAATGAAAAAGACCCATGTTGTTTCTTAATTGAGGAAGATATCGCGTATCATACATACAAAAACATACAATCCCACTGTCAACCTCCTTTCGGGAAGTCGACTAACAATCAAACCAAACTAATTGATAATATGGTACTAACAACATAATATTGTAATGTATCAAATTATATCTTAGAGTAAGATAAGAGAAAATTCTAATTAAAATTACTGTGAAAAGTCCGGCGTGTAATTCAATTCCTTGCCCAATTTCTTAGCAAATGTCGCCTGCGTTTCTTTGTAACTGAGTTAGTATACTGTCTCTAAAATAACTCGTGCATTACACAATATGCTTTAAGAAAATAAAAAAAAAAAAAGTGAACAAAAGAAAACGATAAAATGAAATTAATGAAAATTAAAAAGCGGCAAGAATGTTTCTATAGTTTTACATTTTATACTATTATAAGAGCAATATTGATGCACTTGTTTATTGGTTTGCAATCGCGTTCTCGAAAACGGTTCAAAGAATTTCGATGACATTCACAATATTGGGGTTTATGGAGAAGAAAAATCAATTTAGCTCGATTATATTTCTGGGAAAATTCGTTTTCCATGTTTTTTTTATATATAGGGTGACAAACGAGAACACCTGATTGAAGTTGTTGCTGTGACCTAAAGACATCTACATCTATCCTCAATAAAGAGTCAAAATGCATATGCGTTGTGACCCTTGAGGACTAAGATGAAATGCCTCTTTTCCAGTAAAAAGGGTCTCCGGTTCTCAACACTCACCATTTGAAACACAGCAGTGTTAAGCTGCTATTTTACACCTGTAAGAGCGTGATCCTTCCCCGGTCGAGCCGACCTATGCGTGCTGCAACTATACTACTAATATAGCTGTGTCACGACTTTACCACGTATGTAACGTACAAATCAAAAAACTTGTCTTGCCTCCACATTATGTATAATCTCAATTTCTCACTTGCTAAAACATAGGCCATAAGGAAAAGGGGAGATCTCCCGCCGGGCAAGGTATTCTGCCCGGGGAGCGGCCAACGCTCCAAGTGGTAATTCGGAACTATTCTATATATATATTACTCTTAATTCGGAACTTTGTTAGCACGATTTAGGCTTCGATGTGTTTTGCTTATGGCGCGACGATAGCGCCGCCACATCACCCCACGCTCTGACCGATAGTGCAGTCCGATTGCCGGTGCGTCCTTAATGCCGGTGGGGAATGCATGCCGTACTACGCACTCGCAAGTGATGCCGGTGAGAACGATGAGCCGGAGCAAGTGCAAGGGATTGCCTTGTAGTCTGCGGTGAGTCGAGAAGAAGGCAAGTAATCTGCGAGAGTGCCGTGAAGCAGAGGCGAGCAGTAAGGCTCAGTGCCGTGCCGAACACTGTAACGCAGAGAGTAGCTTGAAGGAACAGAAAGCATTGTTATTCCAGTGCTGCGATTAACCTTTGTAAAGCTAGATGGCTTGCAGAATGTGAAGACTGCAGACAATATCTTCTAGGGAGCGAATGAATGGGTTACTTGAGGATGTTGAAGGTTTGAAGGTGTAGTTTCCGAAGGTTAGATGGTTGCGTGTTCAGATCACGTCGGGGTCACCACTGTGGCTGGTGAAAGGAAAAGGGGACATATCCCGCCGGGCAAGGTGTTCTGCCCGGGGAGCGGCCAACGCTCCAAGTGGTAGTTCGGAGCTATTCTATATATATATATTGCTTTAACTTCGGAACTTTATTAGCGCGATTTAGGCTTCGATGTGTTTCGCTTGTGGCGCGACGACAGCGAACGCAAGTTCAAATTCTGCAATGTGGTCACATTTTTTAATTTTATTTTTTGTTCTTTAGTATTACAGGCTCAACCGCTGGATAATGATAAATTATATGTTTGTGAGTTTGCTAGCTTGGTAGCTCGGTGAGAGTTATATGTGTTAACACCTAGCCACTAAACCCAACCGTAGTATTCAATACTCGTACGTTATATATTTAAATGACAGAATACTAATATTGGATAGGATAAAGAATTATATGACTCCGAATGAAGTAATGTTATTCGAGATAAAAAATAACTTTTACTGACAATAATTTACAGGAATGAAATTAACTTCGCGTACAAGATAAGTTAATCGAGGTGAGAAGCGCGCGCGTGTTGTTCCTGAGCTAGCTGCCGGCGGAATGCACGGTGGTCCGGCCCGCGCTCTGACGAAGGCGCGGTGCGTCGCATATCTAGGTCACTCCATTGTTTCGCTCCGGTGGCGTGATGTTCGAGCGTAGCTCAAGCTTCATAAGCGTAGCGGATTTATGTGGGGTCCAACAGAAGCGAGTTACGCCACATATTCCCCCTGGCCAAACCGTAACTAAGGTCGATAGTAGTGAGGAAATCTCAGTCTTCTGCCACTCCGCATGATTTTCTCCATGTTGACAATAGGTTCCATAGGGACTTTGGGTTCCGGGTCTTGGATTTCTTTGGTCATGTACGCTGGTTTTAGTCTGTCGACAGAGACGTTGTTTTTCTTTCCTCTTATGTCTATAGTATAGTACTTGGCATGTTTGTCTAGTACTTTGAAGGGTCCGTCGTAGAGTGGTTCGAGTGAGCCTCGAACATGATCTCGGCGAAGAAAAACATGAGAGGATGTGTGGAGGTCCCGTGGTATGTAGAATGGCGTCGTCGTGCTGGTGTGCCATGATGTCTGCTTGGGAGTCAGTTTGGCCATGCAGTATCGTAGACATGTTACGTACTCTGTGATGTCTGCCGTGGTGTAGTCGTCTATTGGAGATAGGTATTGGCCTGGTAGGCTGAGAGTTTGACCATATACCAATTCGGCGGGGGTAGCTTGGAGATCTTCTTTCCATGAGTTGCGCATGCCCAAGAGAACCAGTGGAAGGGCTTCCGTCCACTGCGATGGTGTCTGGCACATGATCGCCGCCTTGAGTTGCCGATGAAGTCGTTCGATGATACCGTTTGCAGCTGGGTGATAGGCGGTTGTGCGCAAGTGACGCGCACCAACCAACTTGGTGAGAGCTTTGAAGAGATGCCTGTCGATTCGGCGACCACGGTCTGTAGTCACCACTGCAGGACAGCCGAATCGTGCTATCCAGCCGGACACCAGAGCAGCTGCGCAGGTCTCCGCCGTGACGTCCACCATGGGGTATGCCTCAGGCCATCGCGTGAAACGGTCGATGACGGTAAGGCAATATCTGTAACCAGAAGTAAGAATTAAGGGCCATACGATGTCGACGTGGATATGGGAAAACCTCGACGAGGGAGTGGGGAAAGGTGAAAGCGGGTACGTGGTATGACGGGTGATTTTGTTCTTTTGGCATGAGAAGCATTGCCGAGACCACTCTCTACAATCTTTACGTATCCCTGGCCATACGTATCTTTGTGAGACCAATCGCACAATAGCTGAACTTCCAGGATGGTGTAAGCTGTGTATTGTATCAAAAACTTGTTTTCTGAACTGAGGAGTAACATAAGGCCGTGGCGGTTGCACAGAAGTGTCGCAATAGACAGGTAAGTTACCATTCATAGTATTGATCCTTTTCAATTGAAGGGTAGAGCCATGAAGGAGTAGATTTTGTACTTCTGGATCTTTGTCCTGAGCTCGTGCAAGATCGTCGTAGTCCACAGCTGTAGTGATTTCCTCTACTCTAGAAAGTGCGTTAGCAACTAAGTTTTCCTTACCAGGTAAGTATTTAAGGTCAGTCGTAAACTAAGCAGTGTAGTCAAGATGTCTGAACTGTCTTGGAGTGCATTTGTCTTTGCTCTTTGAGAAGGCGAAGGTAAGAGGCTTATGGTCGGTGAATATTGTAAATATTCTGGCTTCTACCATATGTCGGAAGTATTTGATGGCTTCGTAGACAGCTAGTAGCTCTCGGTCGTAGGGGCTGTACTTCCGCTGTGCGTTGCTGAGCTTATGAGAGTAAAAAGCAAGTGGTTCCCAATCCTTACCTTTCCGTTGTTGAAGCACGGCGCCTATGGCAGTTTCAGACGCATCTGTCACTATTGCTAGTTCTGCAGCTGGGTCTGGATGAGCGAGACGAGTTGCTTGAGATAGTGATTCCTTACAGTCTTCGAAGGCTCGAAGTAATTGCGGAGTCATGACTATCGGATGAGACCTTTTGATTTTTGAGCCTTTGAAAACGTCACTCAGCGGTGCTTGAAGTTGGGCTGCGTTGGGAACAAAGCGACGGTAGAGGTTTAGCATGCCTAAGAAACGTCTTAGTTCTATGACCGTTTTAGGAACGGGGTATTGCCTGATAGTTTCGACTTTGGACTCTAGTGGTTTCGTACCTGCAGCTGAGACGTGGTATCCCACGAACGTGACTTCTGGTTGGCCAAGTATACACTTGTCAGTTTTTACCACGACGTCGTACTGCTTTAGGCGTTCAAAGAGTTGCCGCAGATGGTTTTTTTGCTCTTGGATGGATGACGAAAATACCAAGATGTCATCTATATATCCGTAGCAGAAATCGAGTCCTAGCAACACCTCGTCAATGAACCTCTGGAAGGTCTGTGCTGCGTTTCTTAAGCCGTAATTCATGAATGGGAATTCGTACAATCCAAATGGAGTCGTGATCGCCGTTTTCATAATGTCATCTGGATTAACAGCAATCTGATTGTACGCCTTGACTAAGTCGATGGTAGAAAAGAGAGAACAGCCTGTGAGTTGATATGAAAAGTCGTGGATATGACGGATGGGATATCGATCACGTATCGTTCTATAATTCAGTGCTCTGTAGTCTCCACATGGTCTCCAACTATCGTCTTTTTTCTTTACCATGTGCAGAGGAGAAGACCAAGCGCTTTCCGATGGTCTGGCTGTGCCGCTGGCAAGCATGTCTGAGAACTCCTGCTTCGCCGCTTGCATACGAAGTGGATCCAGGCGTCGAGGCTTACTGGCTACTGGAGGTCCTGTAGTCGTCCTGATATGGTGAAGAGTACTGTGTTTGTATGGTAAGTGCATACCTGGAGGGCGAGTTATCTCTGGGAATTCACGCAGTATCTGGTGAAATTCGGTTTCTCCGGTGACTGACTTCACCGAAGCGATGTCCTCCGTTGATGTGTGAGCTACGGCGTTGACCGAGAGAGTAGTGACATTGTCGACTAGTCGTTGATTCCTACAGTCAACGAGTAAATTATAGTGGCTGAGGAAGTCAACTACGATGATCGGTTGTGTCACATCGGCTACTGTGAAGTTCCATGTGAAGTTCCACCTCAATCCTAAATTGAGGTGTAGCAATATTGGTCCGTTGGTGTGCAAGACTGTGTTATTAGCAGCTATGAGGTCATACCTGGATTTCGAACAGGGCATCTTGACTGCTGACCGGGGAAAAATACACAGGTCTGAACCAGTGTCCACGAGGAACTGCATTTTTGATGTCCGGTCTGTGATGAATAAACGGACTGTTGAAGGAGGGTAGTCGTTAGCCTCTACTTGCGACCACCCTGTAATTTTTCTGCCTAAAATGTGCAAGGCTGCTTACACTTGTTCGCCTTGCGCCCGTAGGTGTAATGATAAAAACATTGCGGGTGATCCGGTGGATGCCTTTTGGGTTCGAATTTCCTCGAGAGGGATCGCGATCTTGAATGTGAGCGGGAACGTTGTTGCCTGTTTAGTTGAGTAGTGAGAAGTGCTACTTGCCTCGTTAGTTCACTTATTTGCTTGGACATGGTGTCACGATTTACCAGCGTGGTAGTAGAGGTGCTGGCAACTTGAGGGTTCATCGGTGCGATCTCGTACAACCTGTAGTAGTAGTAATAAATTATAATATATGTGTGTGTCTGGGATATTCACATTTGACCTCTGAGCTACCACAGCACTAGCAATATCCGATATCCATACATTACAAGAAAATTATGTGCCTGTGTAGGGCTCAGGCTTCGTGTTTTATATATTATGATGATGAAAAATAAGAAAGGAAATATAGGGAATTTTTCCGTGGTAAAACAAGGTTGCAGCTATATAATGGCTGCGGCACGAATAAATCAACCGGGAAAAGACTGCACTTTTTGTATGGTGAAGGTAAAGAACCGCTGATTACTTTTACTGGTAATGAGGCACTCAATCTTAATCCTCAGGAGTGTGCCCTCAGCAGTACCTTTATTTTGATTCTTAATCATAGATGTAGGTGACAATGGATCAACGTATCCACTTATGATCTGGAAGACTGTATGTTTATTTTTGCACACTTATTCTATAAAACAAGTGGAAGTCAAATTGACTTCGACTATATTGACGATGTTTTCATTTTATTTATATTGACGTCGGTTGCACATTTTTTTTTATTTTACCACTTGTTTTATAGAATAAGTGTGCAAAAATAAACATACAGTCTTCCAGATCATAAGTGGATACGTTGATCCATTGTCATCTGCCTCATACACATTATTAAAGATAACTCAAAAACGACTGGTCAGATCTTGATCAAATTTATATGGGATCATAAAAAAGCACCAGCTTTTAAATAAAAAAGAATCATCAAAATCAGTTCACCTGGAAAAATATCTAAGTTAACACACATAAAAAACCAGTCGAATTAAATAAATCCTCCTTTTTTTGAAGTCGGTTTAAAACCGTTACCAGGTATTCTGACCACGCAATCACTAGCCCAAATATAGAGTTGTTGAAAATATATTTCAGGCGAGCAAGATTAATGCTGCGTCGGCCAAACGAAGACGTATAAGACTCGCCTTGAATTATGGACGTCATTTGTAAAACGGGAAGATTGTCCACCTAAGTGTTCGTGAAATATAATAAATCTCAAATATTTTCATTGAGGTCTAAAATTATAGCTTGCATCATAAAACTTGAAGATATAAAATGCATTATTTTGTTATTATTAACTACAAACGAACTACCCCGGCTTTACAAGGAAACGATCTATTAATAGTCACGTTTAATGTCCATGTCACACCTATGCCGGTAGTTGTTGGGAACACTAAGCTCGAAGTTGTTGACGAGTATTTTACCTGGGACAAATAGCCCGACTAGTTAAGTCCAACTTCGAGCGAGAGGTCAATCGACGGATTCAACTCGGTTGTGCAGCGTTCGAGAAATTACGGCACATCTTCTCGTCAGGTATACCTCAAAACTTGAAAACGAGACTGTACACCCAGTGCGTGTTGCCAGTGATGACATACGGAACTGAGTGTACGTATATTGTGAGTTATAACTTTAAACATTAGATTTTCCATCTATGTTTTAGCAACAGTGGTCGTGCCGGATGAGGAAGCTCAAGGTCGCTCAGCGAGCTATGGAGAGAGCTATGCTCGGAGTTTCACTGCGTGATAAACTTAGAAATGAGGATATCCGCAGTAGAACCAGAGTGACCGACATAGCCCAACGGATTAGTAAGCTGAAGTGGCAATGGGCCGGACATATAGCTCGAAGAACCGACAACCGATGGGGAAGAAAGGTTCTCGAGTGGCAGCCTCATACCGGCAGGCGAAGTGTAGGGCATCCCCCCACTAGATGGAGTGACGACCTGGTAAGATATGCAGGAAGTCGATGGATGCAGGTGGCTCAGGACCGTGCTTCGTGGTATTCTTTTGGGGAGGCCTATGTTCAGCAGTGGACTTGTGAAGGGCTGTAATGAATGAATGAATGATCTATTAATATGGCGTTATTTAAATTTAAGATAATCAAATACGATTTATTTTATCAATTTATCGACTTATCACAAAAAAATGTCAAACTTTTCAGATAAAATATAGCTGAGATTGATATAGATGAGATTCCTCCTGATGTTGTTCTCTAGATAGAGACAGATGTTTGTGAAGTTTCATGACAATCGGCTCAGCTATTCCTAAGATTAGTCCGGACAAACAGATCGACACATTTTTTACAAATGGTTATTCATGTCTGGAGGCAATTCAACTAACCCCCTAAGCCCTGAGCTCGATAAAATGCAATTATTTTAATATTATAGACACACACTTCAATATAATTTATATGGTGTACAGATGTATAGATTTAAGTCTTTACAAGATATTTTGATTTGGCGTCGTGTAGTGGCGGCGGAAGTGACTCCACAGTCCTTTATCATTCCGTGTGGTCACCCCACCAGCGCTCATGACCAAACTTAAAGTCATAGAAAGTGGTGGGTTGACTTACTAAAAGGCTACGCAAGATATATGAGTATATTTTTCTTACTAGAATAAGAGTGACAAATGAGCATGCAGTTCGCTTGATGGTCAATGGATGCTGTGGCCCATAGACATCTAAGTCTATTCTCGATTAGAAATTAAAATGCAGATGTGTTGTCACCCCTGAGTGCTAAGGTGGAATGCCTCATTTCCAGTAAAAAGGGTGTCTATCCGGTTCTTTTCCTTCTTTTATTTTTTAAAATAAGACGTTATCCCTTAGGATTTTCTCCTGTATAGTAAAGGCAGTATCGTGTATATATATATATATATATATATATATATATATATATATATATATATATATATATATATACATATATATATATATATATGTACATATATATATATATATATAATATTGATTCAAACCCACGGCCCGTAGCACAATTACTCATTCCTAAGCCACTGCGCCACGGAGCCGTCTTTTATTCTCTATACTTACTATACGAAACACAGCTACATTAATCCGCTATTTTACACCGGCATTTTGTAAGATTGTAGTCTTCTTTCGTGCTACAATTTTATAATATAGCTGCAGCATAGCTCTAACACGTGTAAAAAACTCTACACTAGACAATTCCAAAAGAAAGTCATAATCCAGTTTAAAACTTTCATTTCAATGACTTTTTTTCACATAACGGCCTGTTGGCGATAGACGGCAAAAAAGGTAGGAACGCGTCAACCAAAAAATAAATATCGCAGACTAGGGTTAAAATTATTTCACTCATCATACAGCGTGATATAAAACATTTCAGTATACCATGGAGAATGTTATTATCCAATATAAAAGCTATATTAATACTCATTCGAAGATATGGATCGTCTCAGCTTCTTCATAGCAGTACCCTGCTACTAGTGTATTGGCATTGACTTCATAAAGGGCACCGTTATTATTTTATTTGGCGTGATATCATAATATTATAAGGAAATTTGCGTCTGGGATATTCCTTTATTACTATTTTTTTGATAAACCTGAAGTAATATACGAACTTACAGTCTATCCGGCTGTAATTGTCTACTGCAGTAACCGAAAAAGAAACAGATATAGAAACTTTTTTTATTAAATATAGATTATAAATAATACTTATTGAAAGTCACTCTTTTGTATAATTACCACTGGTTCGAAAAAAAACCTCTGTCCTGGGAACAACCAGCAAGAAACCCAGCGGGACTTTTTTCATAAATAACAGCTTACAATCATGTATGTTATACAAATTAACAACACAACAAATTAGAAATAGCTTGGTAGCGATCACCTCATTTCCAGGGGTTACTATCATCTATAAATTCTTTAATATTATAATAACCCTTTTTTATACAAACTTAGTTTAATAAAGTTTTTGAACTTTGAGCAGATCAAATTTTGTATATTTTCTGGAATTTTGTTGTAAAAGCGTATACATCGCCCCAAGAATGAATTACTGACTCGATGGAGTCGATTAACTGGTACTACTAGCTTGTTTCTGTTCCTAGTATTTACAGAATGAATATCACTTATTTTTGTAAACTGCTTTTATTTTTGTATACGTACATTACATTTTCATTAATATATAGAGAAGCCAAAGTTAATATATTAATTTCCTTAAATTTTTGTCGCAGCGACTCTTTAGGCTTTAAATCATAAATTGCTCTTATGGCCCTCTTCTGTAAAACAAATATAATTTCAGTGTCAGCTACGTGTCCTCATAGCAAAATACCATACGACAGTTAATGGACACCTGCAGCTAATTTCAAATAAAGAAGGCTACAGATGCGTTGTCATCTCTGAGCAATATGTAGAATGCCTCACAGCCTGTTAACATACTCGCACTCTACCCTGCAGACAGGAATACAGCAGTGCAGGCACTGCTGTTT